GTCTGAGTGCTGTCCCCCAGCTTTTGAGCATAAAGCTAGCACTCTACCACTTGAACCACAGTTTTTTATGGTTCATTGCTGATAAGAGTCTCACAGACTTTCCTGACTAGGCTGGCTTCAAACTGTGATCCTCAGATCTCAGCCTCCTGAGTAGCTAGGATGACAGGCGGGAGTCACTGATGCCCGACTCTCTTTGTGTGTCTCTGTCTTTCTCTCTGTGTGCCTATCTGTCTCTCTGTGCCTTTCTCTCTGTTTCTCTGTCTATCTGTCTGTCTGTCTGTCTGTCTGTCTCTCTCTCTCTCACACATACACACACACCCCAATAGATAAATACAATAAGAAGGAGAGGGAGGTGGCTTACAGTGGTGTCTGTGCTTGGCCGAATGGCTCTGTCTCTTGTAACCTGAAGGTCCTGAGAAGTGTGGGTGAGAATTTCTAGGGTTTTTGTTTGTTTGTATTTTAGAAAAGAACAGAATCCGAGTGTGAGGCGTGTCACAGGCCGCCTCTTCCCCACGGGGGCTGCTGCAGGCTCCTTTGCGTCCGGGATGTACCCAGGGTGTTTGCAAACTGTGAGATGGTTTCCTTGGTAGCTGCGCCAATTAGCGCTAATGACATGGCTGAGATCTCAGGGGTGGGGTGGGGTGGAGTGGGGGCGATGCTAGCTGGCAGCCCGGGCAGGTTTGTCAACGTTGGTTGGTCTGGCAGCCCCTTTGAAATGTGGTGCCAACTCCTCTTCCCTGCTTGGAGAGACAGTGAGATGGTTGGTGTTGTCTAGATGTTAATTTAAAGGGGGGGGGATGATGACGCCTTGGGCTGATCTTGTGGATGTTATCTTGGATAGGTTTTAGGTGAGGAGCCTTTATAGTCTTCTCCAGGGATCGGTCCCTACGGTGGTGGTGGTGGTGGCTGTGTGGGGGGAGGGAGGGTGACACTGGACAGAACTGGAGTGCATTTACGTTTTTCTTTCTTTTTCTTTTCTATTCTATTCTTTCTTTGTTTTTTTGTCTGTCCTGGGGCTTGAACTCAGGGCCTGGGCTCTGTCCCTGAGCTCTTTGGCTCAAAGCTAGTGCTCTACCACTTTGAGCCACAGCTCCACCTCCGGTTTTTGAGTGGTTCACTGGAGATAAGAGTCTCACTCACTTTCCTGGTGCCCCCCCCCCCAGGCTGGCTTTGAACCGTGATCCTCAGATCTCAGCCTCCTGAGATCTAGCTAGGATGATGGGGGGGGGGAGTGAGCCAAGAAAGCAAGATTGAAGTGCTAATGAGGCATTCTTTGGGGGTCATGACATGGGGCTGGCATTGGGACCTGTTCTGGGATCCCATCCCAACCGAACACAGCTCCTGCGTCCTGGAGACTGAATCGTCTCCATCCTGCGTTTCTAAGCCAGCGACCGATAATTACATCTGGAGAAGGTGGCGTCCTTGTCCCTGGGGTGTTTCGTTTCCAGGTAGCCTGCAGCCCTCTCACTTGGCCCTGTCTTCCCTCTACCCTAACCAAGGAAGCCCTCGGGGAGAGCTGAGTCCCGATCAGCCAAGCCCGGCCCAGAGACAGGGAGACCTGGAAGTTGCCAGCACTGACCCTGATCACCATTTGTAGTGAATTCTGTCATTCCTTGACGCAACCTCAGGTACCGTAAGTCCCACGATTTACATGTCATCATTATCACAGTCAAAACCACCCGCCTCGCCTTCGTCCTAATCAGTACCACCCCCATCACCATCACCATCACCATCGTGATTGCCACCACCCCTGCCGGCACCATCATCACCAGCACCACCGCTACCACCACCGCCGCCGTCGTGCGTTAGTTTGGTTTAATTCGCAAACTCTCGAGCCTGTCTGAACTTGATTTCACTCTTCTTGGCTTCATTGGCTGATGGCTGAATGACTTGGGGGTGGGGCAGACCCCTAACTTCTCAGGAGGGTCAGGCTGTACATCTGCCAGATGCGGCCTATCAAAGCTACTTCCAGGGCTAGCTAGAATGCACGCCTAGCCAGGCTGGTACCATATCTGCAGGTAGATATAGCATCCCTCCTCCCCCT